GATTACTCGATTACCGCAAGGCCGAGATATACAACAAAAAAAGAAGATGATTTGGTGACTTTTCTAGTACCTTTCTTGGGTGTGAATCTGTCTTTTTGGTTTACTCCTCCTGGTTAAAAAACATAGTATAGCTAATTTGAATTCAAAGATGAATGTTTACAATAATAACTCACATATTTTTAAATGCGCTTCTTATAGTCCAGTAACTCGGGTAGAAATTAGTAACTTACCTCCTAATTCTGTTGGAATGCATGGATTTGGGGGATATGGGCGAAGTGCGCTTTTTGTTTTTAAGGGCTTAAAACTTCCCCTAAGTAATAAAAAATTTAAAAACACGTATTTAAGCGTTTAAGACCTTAAAATCTGACTGAATTAAGAAAAATAAACATATTTAATGATAGTTTGATAATTGCACTTACATACAAATTTTCAACCCTTAGAAACCATAAGTTATGACGTAAATATTTTTAAAAATATTTTTTTACGATGTAAAATTAACTTATGAATTAAAATCAACAACAATTCATTCATCGCTTATAAAATTATGTTTTATTGATTTTTAACCCCTAGAAAGCATCCCTTTATGCAAACAAATACATAAAAAGCCTATTTATAGTTTAAAATATTTTTATTTTTCAGCTAGATAACTAAAAATTCATTCCTCGTTTATGAAACTTTATTCTGAACCTATATATTTAAATCAATAAAAATTTGTTCTTTGCTCATGAAACACCATTTCCTTGGGTGTGACTTTGTTAACCCATAGAATCTACACATTATGGTAATACCAGTACAAAGCATTCTATATTATTTAGATTTTTTTCTTAATTAGGTATAAGATATAAAAAATACGTAAACATTATGGTAAATTATGTAAAAAAATATTACAAAAATCAAGAACTATCCCAATCACTAGATATATCTTCATCGACTTCACATTCTTGTTCATTCATTGGAGGGAGTTTTGACATGTATTTCTCCAGCAAGTCGCACACGTGATATTACAAAATAAATCTAGCCTTCTGCAACCACACGAAGATTCGCAACGTTTTGTGCAATTACAAAAAATCATCTTCAATGGCCCAATCATAGTTCAACTGCTGCAAGGTCAGACTGATTAGAAAGCAAAACTAGAATTTAATTAAATCAAATTAAGTCAAATGAAAGTTCGAACCACTCGAAACAGGTGACCTGGTCTTGGTCACACTTTTAAATGTTTGCTGTCTTTTCACTTTTTTCGGATTTACTCTGTACGAGTACTAGAAACCAATCCGCTAAGGATTTCTGCTTAGTTGATAAGACGTGTCGTGGAATGCAAATTTTAGATTCCCCACGTCTCTTTTAATACCTTTATCAACGTCTGTTTTGCTTTGCAATTTTTAGAAAGCACAGATTAAAGCAGAAATCTGAATTGTGTTTCGAAACTATTTTACGATATATATTATAGTTTTTAAGTTATTTTGAAAACAAAGGACATTTTTTTAGAAACTTTTCAAATATATGATAAAATTTTTATAATTCACAAATTTCAGACTTTTTGAAGTGCTCATTTTAAATGTCCTATCATGGACTAAAAAAAACTTTTATATAATTACCCCCAAAAAAGCAATCTTTTACTTACCATTTAACGTTAAATATATTGATCCAAATATTCGCAAAAAAGTATCTGCTTCCACCGACCATATCTCATTTTGTATTGTATCTAGAATATCTTGTAAAAATAAATCTTATTCTTCTTTTATAAGCTTTATATTTGTTTTGTATCATTATTGAACGAATAAATACGCAAGATCTGAAAAGAAGAAGGAGTAGATATAGAGCAGTGTAGAATCAACAGACTGGCGGAATATAACAGTAACACATTTGTATCCCCGGTCTCCGGGGAACATATGGCAATGAAAGAACTTATGTACTTGCCAGAAGATTATGAGCTACAAAATGCTTAGGCCCAGAGCTGGCTATGAAAGTGCCAAAAGGCATCATCCGCGGCCGGAAAAAAGCTAAATCCCAAAGCTACATAACTCTAACTGGGAAAATATATCCGATCAAGCACATGGCAAAATATATATTGGACGGACATGTGCTAATAGGGTTGGAGTACTGCGGAAAACAAGCAGGAATCAGATCATACTCATTTCAGGCTTCCTTATTGGAGATGCCACAGTCTACAATACAGTACTGGGTACAATAGAATAGTTTTATGGAGATTTGAGATGCAGACTTTGTATCAGAGAACCTGAAACAGTCAAACATATCTTACATAACTGCAAGGCATTGGATCGGAGGAGGTAAACACTTTTTGGAGACAACGAAGTGACCCCAAAAATATAAGGCATCCATGAACTAGACCTGATGTATAAGCTAGTAGGTACAGGGTTTCAGAATCCTGGATTGGGTATTATTAGGGAATGGAGACAAATCATACATTAATAATACTACCACTACTAAAATTACTATTTAAGTAAGTAGTTGTATAACAAATGTGTAGAAACCTTTTTCTTACCTCATACGCCTAAGATATGTAACCTAATGTAAGTAAGTAATTAACCAACATTTCGAACAGCACACAGCATTACGTTTTATTAATGATCAGATAGTATCATATCAACTATTCAGAATATTTTGGGTTTCGCAACATAATAATTGACTTGAAGATAGAAACAATGGAGCAAAAAAGTAATCTGCAAGTTAGAAACTGTAGGACCTATGTGATGTAGAGAAAATATAAGCAAATCTGCAAAAAATTTGAATAAAAGATGTACCTAGAGGGTGAAACTGTCAATACGTACCTATAATGGTGAGAAGCAATCTTCCCAAAGACCAGCTAATAGAATACGTGACGAGAAAACGAGAAACAAGAATAGAAAAATAAGACTATATCGAATATTTATTAGAGTGGGGTTTTATAAACAAAATAAACGTTTAATTCCTGATTTACGTTTTCCCGATTACGTTTAGTTTACGATTTAATTAATAAGATCCCCAAATTTTAAATAAAATTAAAATCAAAAGACCATAAAAAAAATCGAGAACACCCTGTATATAGAAATAGTTTAGTTGTAAAATCATAAACCATTTACCGGGAACAATGTGAGTGGTTTCCGAATATGTGAATAAGTGATCTAGAAAGTTTTCTCCGATAAAAAGACAATAGGGTTTGGACATGACCAGGTAGTTTTAGTACACAACTATTTGAAATTTGCGGTGATAATAGATTAGAAAGTAATAAGTAAGGATTATTAGTTAATGGGTTTTCTCCTTTACAAAAGTTAAAAAAAGAATTCACCGTCGTTTACCGGAAAGTACTTTAACGTCAGGTAATTTTTGGAAAAACCAAAAATGTAATGGACTAAGAAACCGATGATGCGTTTGATGAGAGGGAAGGTTTGTTTGGATTGGTTTAAGATGGATAAAGAATAAGGGGGTGAAAAGCTTGCCGGGAATGAAATGAGGGAAAAGAAAGACATTGTAAGTTGAACATCGAGAGAGACCAGTTTCGGTAAAAACATTTTTTTTTGAGAATTTATAAGAAGTAGTGCTTAGTGTTTGTGTGGAAAACTAAGCAGCCATTGTGGTAAGCATAGACGAGTTCCAGTAGAAATAGAGGCATTACTGTAAGTACAAACAGATATATTTTCGTTGTGTCTGAGAGGAAGCAATTTGTTTGTCTTGGAGTTTGGAGCTTGTGGTAAAGACATCTCGACATTTTCTTACTGTTTGTCTTTTTCTTTTATTATCAAAAGAAACAGTAGGCGGAATAGCAAGCAGAGAAATTGGTAGGATCCGGGAAGTACATTGCGATCTGGTCAGGGCACAATCCAAGCAGAATCAATGGAAGATAGTCTGTTTGAAAACCAAAGTTTTGAGTTTTTAAATAAATTCTATAAAGACATTCTATCACGACCATCTATCAACATTTATGTCAATTGTTTATAATTTGCAATATTTTTATAGTTAAGGCAAGAAGTCAAGGAACCAATAATTCTTTCTAAAATTTTTATATTAAGAGATATTTGATTTAGAAATATGTGTATTTATTTTTATTGATCATTAAGGGATGTGTGATTTGATGGATGATTGATTATTTTTTATTCTATTTATAGTGTATGGTATAAGATTTATCCTTAACGGAATTTAAAATTATTTGGATATATTTTAAAATTAACGACAATTGTTTTAATATCAGAATTGATTGTCTATTATTTCTTTTTCCGTTTGTTGATTTTTCTTAAATGGAACTAGCAGAAGATACTTTGAAGCCACGTTTTAATAAAAAAAAAAAATAATAAAAATTATTTTTAGCCCTGAGATATTCTTTGCTTTTGATTTGTTTGATAAAGATAAATTTATTACAATATATATATATATATATATATATATATATATATATATATATATATATATATATATATATATATATATATATATATACCTATATATCGATTTAGGTGTATTTTAATAATATCTATTAAGTAATTAAAGCACTCATGAAAATTTGAAACGGCTGGTATTAAAATCAGTATTAATGTAAAATAATATAAATTAAATGATAGAAATAAAATGAAAATATTCACTTTATACAGCAAAAATCACCGTGACAGAAGTATCAGCAGTAATATCTGAAATTAAATTAAAATCAATCCAACAAAATAGCCTCCAACTAAATATAATCACGTCAATGCAACAAATCCAACACTAAATCAATTGATTCATAGAAATTTTATTGGTCAATACGAGATAATAGCCTCCAAATTGAGGTGCACTCTAAACACTAATTTTCTTCCACGTCTAATTAAGCCCCTACAACAAAACCGAGATTATTACTCTGTCATTGGCCGAGGGGTCTCCAACTACGACGCGAAGGCGGGACTCTGTAAGCCCCTCCCTAGAGGTTTCCACGTTGGACACGGATCAGGCTCAATTTTAACAGTTACCTCGTTAACTTCTTGCTTGGCGGATATCAACCGTTAACAATCGATTAATTATTTGTATAAACAAATATGGAATTGCCATCAGAGCAAATCATGATTAAATCGGACAGTGAGCCAATTACGAAGCCTGTGCCTAGGCCTTTTTCAATTGAAGCACTTATGAGTGACTGTGGTCCTCGGAGAAATACAAATTTTGTGCCGTGGGAACCGCAACATCAGTTTGTACATAATAACACTAAAGACACTGATTCTGAGGAAAGTGTGGAAATGGACTTAGTGCAGGATTTGTCGAACAGAAGTCAAAAAGATGGTAAGTAGATAATATTAGCATGTAATTTTATATATGTAAGGTAATATTGATAATTAAGCAAATATTTAAGTTAATATTGACAATTTTAATTATGGTGAAGCGCAAGATGGTTTATTCCAAAACTATTTTTATTGTTTCTGTCTACCAATCTACTCTTACTATTTAACCAGTAACTAAATATATACTTTATTTAAAAGAAATTTAAAGTTAAGGCTAGACTTCCTTTCAACTTTTTGGTTTATTCTCCATAATTATCTCATTCTTTTTGTTTGTTTTGTTTTATATAAAATTATATCTACGTATATGTTAATTCCATCTTAGTTTTTGGTTTGCTCATATTTCTAATCTCCTAGATTTTTACATCACCTTCATATTTTGTACGTTATTTTTCATAGCACATCTTCAATAATTTTTTGCGTTTTCTGGTATCTGAACTTGTTTCCGCCGGTTGTGATATTACATGCTATCTAATTGGATTTGTTTTTAGTTGATGATTATTTACTTTGAACTCATCAGTCTCTATTCCATTATTATCGCGTAATATTATGTCTTAGTCATAATATATGTTATTACAATATTTAATGAGTTTTCTTTACAATCGTTGGCATCCTGACATTTTTCGTTTTCTTTGTATTTTTATACCCATCTTCCACGATTTGTCCAATGCTAATTACTTAGTGAGTAAGAACCTCTTACTCCCTTCCTCTAGTTTAATGATATTGGTTGCTTTTTAGTTTTAGTGCTGAAGACATCCTTCATTGTTTTGTTACTTATTTGTAATATTTTCTCTTTATTTCCCTTCTTTAGTCTTTTAGATAGATATATGGCGGTGTATTTTATGCCAGGAAGGTATCTTTAATTTGCTGTATTGTATATAAACCATGATAATGTAATAATTGGTGACATGATGTCGGGACCATTACCTACACATAGGTAAATATTATCTTACTAGAGTAGCTCTGGAAATAATGGTTATACTTGTTTTAATCTGCCTCAATGCAAGGCCGTTATAGTTAAAATAAAATTTAAAGTGAAAATTAACCTTTACTTTTCTTACCTAGGTGTAATCAATTCATATTTTCTACAAAAAAGTAAATCATATTATTATAAAAAGCCTCTTTCGCTAGTTACAAGTATGGAATATATCTGTTTTCAAATTCGGTACTAGTTTTCAAATCATTTTCCGTTGTTCTGTATCGCTGCGAATACTTGTGGATTTTTTACTTCATCTATTTTTTCATTAAGTATCATAAATTTAAAAATTGGACTTCCTTTCATACGATGCTTTCATGCTTTCTTTTTATATTTAATGTGTATTAGTTAAATAGAAACATTTAAAAAATCCTTCACATTTTATTCAGGCTTAGGACTGGCTATTATGAGTTATAGGCATCTTTGGTTTTTTTTGTCATTTTTTTATTTTAATGTTTTTTTTTTGGTCAAATTTTTGAATATCTGCCACGGACACCAAAATTGATTTTATATCACAAGAGCGCTGCAATAGTTCTGTTGCACTCTTTATCCTATTATGCTGTTGAATATACATTTTCTTTCGTTTCTTATTTTCTAGGTTTGTCATTCTATTTAATGTGAAATCGAAATATTCTGCTTCTTTTCTTAAATTTTTTATGAGAATGTGGATGAGGTTTCTTTAACATTCTATTTAACCGGTTGTTCCATCCCTCCACGGCATTATTTGTTCGGTGTCGGAGGCAGTTCCACATATTTATGCTAATCACTGGATTTTCTAGTCATTCGTTGACGAAGTAATCATAAAAAATTTTCAAATTTTTATCTTCCAGAAAATCAGATTGAATAATTAGCCGCCCGTCTTCTATTTGCTTCCGGTAAGTATGTCAATACATAACACATTCGTCTAACGTTATCGTCTTGTATGTATTGTGTTATCAGTCCGATCGACTGAATGTTCCTCCAAAGCGACTGATTAAAATGGTAGTTGCATCCATGCAGTCTAACATCTGGGAAAACAATTTTAAGAGCTTGAATAACAGCATCTCCAAGATCAAGCGTCACTGTTGTTGGTTTCCATCCGTCTAGTTTTTTTGTCAGTACTTATTGTAAACAGCTTTCTATGTTTTAAATGTTAAATGTTTTCATTTTTTTATTTGGTAGAAGCGCATACATCACAGGAACAATTCTTGTTTCGTCGTCAGTGCTGCCCATATCACCATGCATGGTATATATTTGTGTACACTGTTTGGAGAAACTCTTAAATGTACCGTCGCGTTAACAAAAAAATCTGTTTGTTGCTAACGTTTCCTTTGCTTTCGAAGTCGAAAAACATAAAATTCTTTCTCCTTCTTCAGTGTCGTCAAAACACAAAAAACTTTGACCACATTTTAATTTGAACATTTCCAGTGGGATATCTATTTCAATAGACGACGCTGGTTCTGATTCAACACCAGTTTGTAAATGTCTGGAACGACAAAGTGTAGACTTACGTAATACATACAAAGGAATTTCACTCTCAAAATTGAGTCCTTTTATTTAAATAGTTTTTCGAAATCTTCCCTGTAAATATCTGGGGTTGGAGTATCTTCTTCTCGATCTTTCTTTTTTGAAATGTACGTAGCCTTTTTACTTCTAAGAGGGCTATTTAGGAAACACAGGTGTGTTGGTTGACTTCGAGTAATTTCGTCAGTTCTGGCTTTATCCTCCCTTTACACATATTCAGGTTACAACATCTTCCTTATTCTTCCTATATTTTCGATACTGATATCCAGTGTGAAGAGCAGAAGTTTTTCCCTTGATGGTTTCAATCACTTCGAAATTTTCCATTATTAAAAGTTGTTACGGACTGCACTAAACAATCTGTCAAACTAACAATATACAAATAATTTGCATTTGATAAATTGCGTTAGGCTTTCACGGCCATCGTCTAACTTGTTAAACTGTTTGTTCGGGCTATTAGGCCGTTGTCTTCTGAGATTAGTTCTCAGAAGAATCTGATTCTGTCCCCGGCTTCTATAGACAATGTAGCTTCGTCTATTTTTAATAATTTTAAAGTGTTTGTTCATCCTTGTGTAGTGTATTGTAAAGTTCCATTTTATGTTTATGAGATTTTACTCTTATCGGATAGGCCGCAGACGAAATGCCCCTGAAGATGATCTAGGGATCGAGATTACTTGGGCAATATTAAATTAATACTGTGCTCGATATTTGCCTTTTATATTATCAAAGTTCATTTATTCGAGCATTCAACCTTATATCTATTCGTTTTTTGTTTACTCCTGGTGTTTGCCTACCTGTGTTCAGTTTCTTCTATTCGTTTTTTGATCGTTTCCCATTCTGATGTTATATCATCTGTTTTATATTTCTTTCTTATTTGCACTGTTACTCCCTCTTCTAATTTTTTTTTGTAATACATGCAATGTGCAATTTATTGAAATTGCATCTTTTCTGTTAAGCACAGTTTTTAGTTTAGTAAAAGCACATAATTTGTAATGCTTGCCTATATATGACAGAACGTTATTTTTGTATTTAGCCTAAACTTTCCCACTGCTCGAAAAAAGACTTCCCCAATTTCTTCCAGGATCTTTTTTCTTACCAATTTTTTACATAATCACTATTTAAATGGGAATAAGCCACAATTAAAGGTTAAAGTACGTTTATTGACGTTTCAATTTCCACTTCGGAAATCGTTCTCAAAATACAAACACCAGTAAATTAAAAAAATTTTGTTTTTTTTGTTACTTGGTGAAAAAAATTCTTCCAATAATTTAATTTTATCTGACTCATTTATATTGATAATTCAGACATACATTATACATTTTAAAGTAGACGACTTTAAAATGATTTTATAATATTGCTCAGTTGCGTTCTTTAGACGACTTTTTTGTAAGATAGTTCATTCGATTACACGAAATCAACTTTAATTTGAGAATATCCGTCAGAAAAAAATCATAGCATGTAGTGCGTGTTTACATATTTGAGATCTATCAAAAACAATCTTATATTAAAAATGGAGAATTCGATAAATCTCAAATATGTAAACACGCATGGGATAATGAACAATGTTCAATGGAATGATTCAAATATTTATTTTACCATCTGTTTTTCTTATTTTACCATCCGTTTCTCAAAGAAACGGATGGTAAAATAAGAAAAATCAAAGAAGCAGCTCTAATTATGTTAAATAAGACCAATTGTGTCGCAAATTCCTCGGCAGAATGTAGTAGGATCTGGTAACCCATATTAAAAGAGGAAGTTATTAAAATGAAAATACCACTATTAGCAAGTCAGTAACGTATAGATAGAGGATACATAATTTATGTTTTTCAAATAACAAACATATAAAATCAGAATTTGGTGTTTATTGAAGGTAAATTAAATGTACGACCAAATACTTACCATGTCGGGATAGTATTATGCGGTTTTCTTCCTGGTTTTTCCTCATAATTTACTATGGAATCACTAACAGGGGAGTTTTACTGTCATCATGTCATGTGTTTGTGTTTTTAAAGACGAATTACATGCTACGATTTTTTTCTAACGGATAACGGATGTAATCAAATAAACTATCTTATAAGTAAAGTCGTCCCAGGAACGCAACTCAACAAGATTGGCAATATCATTTTAAAGTCGTCTACTTTAAAATGTATAATGTGTGCCTGAATTTAATTGTCAATATAAAGGAGTCAGATAAAATTAAATAATTAGAAGAATATGTCACCAATTAACAAAAAAAAAACAAAATTTGTTTAATTTACTAATGTTTGTATTTTGAGAACGATTTCCGAAGTGGAAATTGAATCGTAAATAAACGTACTTTAACCTTTAAATTGTGGCTTGTTCCTATTTAAATAGTAATGACTTTAAAATGCAACAAGAAAATAGCTTCAAAACGATTTTTTACATCTTTAATATTTTTTGTATGAATTTGAGGTTTAGTTTACCTACCCCCTTTCCCCAAAACTAAGACATGGGTACGCCTAAGAGTGTAATAATGTTATGTGTACTAGCTAGATTTTAAAAAAACA